TGATTAGTTTGGTTTCCAGAACACCCAGGGCTCTTGTCGTCTTTTTCTTGGTCCTTTGTCCTGGTGACTCTGCCCTCCCCCAGCCTTGTGACTTGGTGTCTGTCTGTCTGTTATGGTATGGCCTGACCTGCATTTATGCCCTGTCACACCTTAGGTTCTGCTCAGAGCACCCGAGGTACTGTCTTTCTCAAATTGGAATTAATAATTAATATAAAAAGCTTGAAAAAAAATCTGAATTTTGTTACATAGTGTAATAACTGTTTGTAGATACTGTTCTGAGATGTAGGAATCTATTGGTGATATAAGAGGTTTTGTCTGTAAATAATCAGTTTAGAGTCCAAATAATTTTAATAAAGAGAATTCTTACACAATAATTCAATAAATTTTAATATACAACTTCTGTGTCATGCTTGTATTGCATGATGATGCAATTACCCAGAATGTATTTGCCTCTTTTTCCTTCTAAGTGGAAACTGTGTACTCTTAAGCACCAGGACCTGGGAGCTGTGCAAGGAGCGTGAAGCTTTTCCCTCCTCCCTAAACTGTGTTTCTTCASGATAACCTTGTGCCACCTTCTACCTTCATCCCTCTGCTGTTTGCAGAGCTCAAATACCATCCCTGAGGAGGCAGCTTCCCTCCACAGACACTCGTGTTCGGCTGGCACTGGGGACACACGGTGTATGGCAGCTCTAGTCGTGCTCTCCCACTGTGGGTAAGGTACAGTTTATGTTGGTCACTTGTCCACCAGCGTGAGGCAGAAGCCAGTGTTCCTAAATTACCAAAACAACTTAATTCTTAAATGAATTGTGCAGCTCTTCCCAGACAGAAATCTGGCCTCTGACCCTTCTATCCTCTTTCCTTCCCTCCCCTTCCTTTGCTAGCAGAGTTTTGTATAGAGTCTGCTTCTCCCCCTCTTTTAGTCCCTCCTCTCTGTACTCTGWGTGTTCTTGTTGCCCTTTTAGGGGTCACAAACCACTTGTCCCCCGTGCTGCCCCTCAGGCCTCAGCACCCGGCCTGGCGCAGCCTCTGCCCCCTCCCTCGGTATTTTTAGTGCGGGGGAAGGCAGGTGAGAGCAGAGGGGCACAGGCAGGGGGAGAACCGCTCTGGGAGGCCCTGGCCTGGGTTTGGCAGCCTGGAGCTGCAGCAGAGCTACTGCAGGCAGGGTTAACCCTTCGCTGCAGGGCTGGGGCTCCGTCTCTGCAGCCTCAGCCAGGAAACCTGAGCTGTGCGAGCCCAGGGCCCCAGCGAGGGGGAGGCCAGGCCATGCCCAGCTCCTGTGCAAGGCTGCAGCATGGGGCAGTGCGGGGAAAAATGGGACTCGTTCTGTGTGTGGCCTTTTCCTTCCCAGTGTGGCATGGTGCTGGGATGCCTGGGTCTCCCCCCCCAGGCTGCAGGGACGATTCTGCTGCACTTGCTCTCCCAGAGAAAGGCACAAGGGGAGTGTGGGCTGTGTGAGCCCTCTGGCACCATGCTGTGATGGTGTTAGACTGTGCTGGAGCGGCTGAGGTGCCTCAGGTCCAGCAGTGTGACACACGGGTGGGTCTGGGGACGGGGATGGCTGTGCCAGGCCGATGGTGCCACAGGAGCAAGTCGTGCTGACACACTGCTGGGAGCAGGGGAAGAGTCAGGCAGACCCATAGTTTCTGGCTCTGGGGATGGCAGAGCAGAGGGGGAGGACTTCTCTGTTTCCATCTCAGTAGAGCTGTGAATTTCCCGCTATAAATAGTTGCTGTGGAGACTGTGAATCTACTGCAGGCTGACAGGCCTCCTGCCAGGGAGGCAGGGAGAGGCCAGCAGTAAAGTGAATCCACCACAGCTGTCTGAGGTCTCCTGCTCTCCAAAGTTGTTCCCAGAAGTGGTGCTGTGACCTGATACCCTGCCCCGCTCCTCACCACGTCCATCCAGCGATGCAGAAGTTTGGTGGGCTCAAGGACACCCCTCCTGGGGCAGTGCAGACTAAAAGCAGAGCAGGACCGGCTGGTATCTCACTTTGGGGAGCTCCAGAAGAAGCCAGATGACAGAGGGAGTGGTGTGTCCTGCCTGTGAGCTGCTGCATGGTGAGTCTGTGCAGGCCCTGGGGCTCAGAGCCCCGCGGGGCCACTTGTGTGCTGTGGGCTGTGACTTGCAGGGATGCCGTGCTCAGCAAGGGATTGTAGGTCTGTGGTGGTGCAGATGCTCAAAGTGTGTATTRCTCTGGTGAGTTCTGCCACTCCAAAAGCCCAGGTGTCATAAGGCATGACTGATGTTGGGCTGCTCCATACTCTGTTCCATACTCTTGGTGGAAGAATCCAAATTAGATGTGAAGCATCATTCCTTGTCTGAGGCTCTCACAAACCAGGCAGGAGCAATTCTCAGGTTGAAATTCTCTGAGCTGGTCCAGGCCTGCAGCAATTCAGGGGGTTCTGCACAAAACAGTTGGGATGACAAAAGCAAAATAAGTTGTATTTAATGTAAAGGTGTCAAGCAATGAAGAATTAGAAGCGCCAATTGTTCTTTATTGCAAAGCTTAGAAAAGTACGTTTCTCTTTCCTGTACCAAGTTGCATAGCAACACTCTTYATCTTTTGCCAATGCTTGGAGGTAAATCTCGTATGCCTAAGGACAGGCTTGTCTTGCCTCTTCAGCAACAATGCCACCAGGGCCCAGTGAACTGCCCAAAATCTCCATCAGCCCTAGGGCTAGGACAAGTCTTACACTCTGGGTCTGCCTCTGGGTCCTATTTTCTCATTGAAGTCTCYTAATACCAGAACACTGCACCAAGGGAAGATGCTGCTGAACTCCCATCTCCACACAGTCGTGAGTTTTCCTTTGGCAGGTGAATGGTGAGCCACATTATTAAATCTTTCTTGCTTCTGTCCAGCTCTCAGCTCAACCCCTGCTGTCTTCATGAAGTGAGTAAAGAAGGCTCAGACAGATGCTGGTGAAGCTGGAGTGTGTGAGGGTACTGATAAGCTCAGTCTGCAYAAATAAGGAAAATTTTGATTTCAGCTCTGTTTTATAGGTAAAATGTGGGTGAGTATTTGCTGTAAAGAGTGGCTGTGCAGACATGCAGCATCCTGGAGCTTTATACCTAAAAGAGACTGATTCTCATCAGCATAAATGCAAGAGTTAGAGGTGTAGAAATGTGAGGAGGAGGAGGGATTTGGGGCTCTTTTCAGACTTCTGTGCAGACGTGGGTGAACAATGTCAGCTCTGGCACTTTGGGTTTTCCCTGATAGGCTGGAAGTCTTGAGCCCAGTCTGACCCTTAACTAGACCTGTGCTGGGAGCTCTATGGGTGCCCAAAGGCAGACTGTGCCTCTGGCTGCTGTGCTGGGAGTGGAGCATGTGGAAAGAAACTTCAATATTTTGWGGAAGTCACGCCTCTGTCTCAGCACCTGGAAGATGCTACTGTTCCAGCTGTYACTGTCACATGGCTCCTACCGCCACCAGCACCGCCAGCCCTCTGTAATTATTTCTGAAAATCTTCTGGTTCAGATGAGTTCTTAGCTTTAGCGACCTGRTTTGAAGGATTTAAAGGTCAACATTCCTACCTGTGCTAATGGTCTATGGGCTTTACTACCACTGTCTCGAGCTCTGACAGTGTGTGTTAGCCTGAAGCTTTGACYGTACGGAAGGTGACATTTCCAGATTATGAAAGGATGGGTTGGGAGTGCCCAGCTATGGTGGCTTGAATYGTAATTCATTAGCAACAAGGGCTCTGGGCTGCTATTTCAGGTGACCAGTGCTGAAGCCAATCCTACATCACTGTGCAGCACTGGGGGACAGCAGTTGGATCAGTCTGTCTGTGCTGTCCTGGTGTTTGTACCTTGGGCTGTCATAGTAACAAACCCCAGGAGCAGCCCCTTGCCAGGATGTCCCGTGGCCTTGCTGGGATGTCACACGACAGTCAGTGATAAACCCGTGCTCCAGCCCCAGGGCTGGGCTATGGACAGAGGAGCAGCGTTGCAGCATTCAGAATACAAGTTCTGCTTCACACCCCTCTGGAACAAGAGCCTCCTTCCAGCCAAAGCCCAAATTCCCTCCTCAGCCAGGATGGGGATTGGGAGGGAGTGCTTTCCCTGGCTGTGGGAGGGATCCCGCAGACCCTGCTAAGCCCCTGAAAATACACACTAGGAAACCTGAGACCCCCATCTGGCCCTAGCCYGGGACCAGCCTGCCAGCTTTCCTCTTCTGAACTCTTAAAATAATCCCTGTCTCCCTGAAGTGCCAAAAGTGTTTGTAACAGCCTGACTCCAGGAGCTGCTGAAGGGAATGGGAAGGAAAAGGGTGAGGGCACAGCAGAGGTACAGCCACYCTGAAATTCTCCAGCTCTCTTTAAAGGAGTAAAGTGCTGAAGATCACACCATCCGTGTCCCACAACTTGGCACCCCACCACCTCCATCCCTTCGTGCCAGGATCTGCCACGCTGCAGGGCCRTGGAGGAGCAGGTGCAGCAGAAGATGCTGTCAGCCCAACACACAGGTCAGTCCTTGGGCATGAGGCTCCAGAGATGAGCCCATGCCAGGCTCTTCCCAGGCTAGAGGAGACCACTGGGACCTGTCAGGCTGTCCTCAGCTGCTCCTTCAGTCTAAGAGCATTTAGAGATGTCACTAATATCTCTTGGTGATGGTWCCCACAGGAGGCCACCACCCCATGCAGGAGGGAGAGGTGTTCAACACGCGATACCAGGTGCTGCATGAGTTGGGCTGCGGTGCCTTTGCCACTGTCTGGCTGTGCCAGGACATGAGGTGAGGGACTGAGTGCCATTCAGAGAGGTGGGAAGGGGTGGCTGATGTCCTGGGCACAGCTGGCTTCTCTCGCAGAAACAGCAGAGCACAACCKGGGAGCACATCAGGCTCAGGGAGCTCAGGGAAAACTTGGCTGTGAAATCAGTGCAGTGCTATGAGCAGAACTGGTCTCCAGAAATCAAAGAACGTAAACAAGGTGGGATCAGCTCTTGCTCTGCATTTTCTTTTCTCATTTAGACCCTGCACTATCCATGCTCTGCCTTTTTTTCTCCAGTCCCTTGCTGGTCCCTGGGGCAGCTGTGCTGCCAGATGCCAGTGGGAGGGATGCCCATAGGCCTGGCGTGCTGCACACSGAGGCCAAGGCTGCCTGCAGAAGGGCAGGGCCCTCCCTGGGGAGCCCAGGGCTGGCTGATTGGAAGAAGGGGAAGTGCTGCTGCTCAGGGCCACTGACATTTATTGGCTGACAGCTGTGGTCCATTTCCCAGGAGGAAGAAACAGGTAGCTGTGAAGGTCCTGAAAAGCAGGGAAGGCTTTGCTGAGACTGCCCAGGACGAGGTTGCTTTCCTTCACTGTGTAAGTTTATTCTGTGGGTCTGTGCTTTGCTCCAAGGACGGCCACTGAGTTCAGGTTTGAGTATCAGCCTCACTATCCCCTCTCCCTCCAGGTCTCAGTCCAAGGAGTTAGGTGGGGAGTAGGAAAAAGCCCGTAGGTTAGGAGATTCATAGAAAGCACCCTGGCTCAACCCTGACCTCTGAAACAGGCACCTTCTCCTTCCTCCGTCACACCGGGACATGTCAGCTGTGTCCCACTTGCCCTGCCAGCCCATTTCTCTTAGCTGAGATTGAAACCCARCAAATGGGAGCAATCTGAAGAATGGTAAGGTGGATAAACAACAGAAGAAGGTGCTAATGTTCTTAAGCAGGAGACGGGAGCATATCTGCACATCTGTGTCATTCACAGAGGAACATCTCTCAGAGGACATTGCTCTACCACAACACTGATACTGAAGTAAAAGGAAATATCTGCAATAGAAAATAATAGAGTGTAGCAAAAATATAATAAACATCTAAAGCCAGAAAGCTTCCTCCTGCCTCTGCTAATGGAAGTGGTAATTAGGTTCCTGTATCTAGGTCGTGCCAAGTTGCCTTTGAAGGTGGCTTGAACTGCAAGTTCTAGAAAGCTCATGGTCACAATTCTTCAAGTTTGCTCAAATACGAAGTTACATCAGCTTCAGATGAGTAAAAGGCTTAAATTTTGCATTTTAAATAACTCTGTGGCCTTTCTCCAACAGGTTTGAGAAATGTTTATTTCACACCTGTAAATCTGTAGGCCCTGTCTGAAGGGACATGAGCCAGATGCAGTGATGCAAGAGGAAGTACCAAGTGGCACTAATTTAATGTAATCAGAGGGCTGCTTTTCTACACATCAGCACAACCCTGTGTACAGACTAAGCCTTACCCCTGATTTATTATTAATTCTCTCTGAGAGACACGCCTGCCCATTCAGCAGTATGCAGCTGGTTCCCAGGGCTGTTTCCACTGGGGGGTCAGTGCCTGCAGAGCTGCCAGGAGAAATGATCTGGTCTCTGCTTCCAGGGCTGTTCATGTCTGTGGTGCCAGAACAAACCTTCTGGCACTGGTGCAGGTGGATCTGGCATCTGCAAAACGAGCCAAACCAAAACCCTGGCAGTTGTGGGTGTGAAGGGAGATAAAAACAGAATTTCTGCACCAGGATCAGTGTTCTGGTGCACCATGTCACGTGGTGTGTGGTGGTGGGGATGCTGTAGCCCCTGTGCCTGGCAGTTCACTCAGCACAGCASCCTGGGCCAGCAGCACATATCCAGGTGGATGTAAGCACGATCTAAGCACGAGGGTGCTGCTCCCACTGAACGCTCCCCTGGCCTGTTGCAGTCTCCACCTGGAGATTTCTCAGGCCAGGGATGATGTTTGATACTATCAGCAGGATTGGTGTGAGTTGTTTTGRCACTGTGAGGATGATGGTCCCACCTGGTGGGAGAGACAAAGCATACAGAAACTCATTTGWGGTTTTCCTAATGTTGTTTTCATGGGATTTGTCATGAAGAGCCAAACCCTGGAACAGAAAGTCTGTCAGACAGGATAAAACAGGTGCAGCGTGTCCTTGTGTATATGTATGTCTCTAACTGCAGCTTTCTTGGAATCCTCTCCCTCAGGTGAGATGCATGAAGAAGAAGGACCGGGCAGGAGAAAACATTGTCTGTTTGTTAGATGACTTCAGAATGATTGGAGAGAACGGTTTCCATATCCTTCTGGGGAGAGTGCTTTTCTGGGCCAGCAAAAGCCTGGGCTTGCCTTGGAGAGCCACAGGATGGTGTAAAGCTGGGTGCTGTGCTGCCATGAGGAGGATGATCAGGGCTGTAGCTGGACCAGGGCACATGGAGGTGGCTGGAGGGGAGAGACTGGATTCGGAGGTGTTTGGTTGCTCTGGTAACAGGTAAAAGGTTGGTGGTAGCATCCTTTCCCCGTTAGTGAGTTCCTGACTCTTTCCCACATGCGTGCCTAGTATTTGAGGCGCTGGGTCCTTCCCTGCGATGTCTGATGGGAAACTACACAGCCCAGGGCTTGCCTTTGCCTTTTGTGAGAAAGTCTTTACAGCAGGTGAGAGCTGAGCTGGAACTGGACAAGGGCACCAAGTGGCTGGGGGACGTGCCATAGTCTTCCTCCCAAGGGGAGGAGGACACCATTACTTGGGTGTTACTGCCTAGGCCTGCAGCCTCCTCAGGTTTGGAAAGGAGCCAGGGCCACTAAGGGAAAACAGCCTGCAGATGTACACCAGGGAGTCAGGGCTGGCACTTCTATTCCCATCATCTCTGTAATCATTGAGTTCTCCAGCAGTTCTGGTGCTCATAGGAATTGTAAGGGACAAACAGCCTGCCATAGCTTTGCTTCTTGTGGGCAAACCACGTCATCCCTGCCCTCATGCTGCTCTGAGAAGTCCCCTCTGGCAGCAGTGCCAGTCTGCTGGCATTTGCCTTGGCATYCAGCCGTGGGTAGTACTGTCAGCTCCAGCAGCTTTCTGCATGGTACCAACTGAAGGCTGCTCAAGGTCTCCCRTCTTTACAGGAATTTCTAAATTGCTGATTTGGTCAGCTGGTTCTATTCCCATGTTGAGGTTTTCCTATGCAGAGCCAACTTTTCCTTCATCTCCTGTTAGGATGTGTTGTGCCAATTGAAAAGATGGTAAAAACTGAGTTTCTTAAGGGCTGGCTGTGCTTAAGGAAAGAGAAATCTGAGCGAGACCTCAGAATAGTTAAAATTACTTTTTGCCTCTTGTGCTGACATTTATCAGAAGTCTGCACACTTGCCAAGATGAAGATTTGCTACCCTGATTCCTGTGCCCTTCTAGGGACACTAAGAAAATTGGTTCCTCCTTCATCCTATTTTCCATAATAGCCTCTCCTTTTTCTAAAGAAGTTCCACTAGCACCTGAGTAAGTTACACAAAAATGTGAAGTGCCCCACTTCACACTCAGGCTTTTGCTTGATGCATTATCTGCTTTACTTGTAAAATCTTAGATCTGCTTTCCCCTTTCAGATCAGTACTGGGACAGTATTTACTTCTGATTCATTCCAGTTTAGTTATTTAAATCTTTCCCCGTGTTTCACAGTTACCATTTAAGGTTGATATTTCCCTGGGGCTGGTGTTCATCCCAGAATAGAATTTGATAATACAGAGAATATTTACCAGTCCTTTATGACTGACCAGAGTGTTTAAAAAACAAACCTAACTCTCCCCTTAGCTTTTTTTGTTATTGATTTTTGATAGTGACTGTTCATCTCTGGTAGGTGTTGTTTATCTCTCCCTTGTGACAGGCCAGGCTCTCCCTGCTGCATCACAARCTGTTCTTTCCCTACATGGCTCTCCTGCAGGGCCCTGAAATCCTCTCTGTGCACTCACTCATSGTCTCTCCCCCCTCCTGTCTCGGTTATGCTGTGTCTTCTTTCCTTGTATGATGGGACACYCTCCCAGACCATGTCACTGTCATTCAAATGGAAGTTGAGGGCTGGTTATAATCAGCRGGAAGGCACAGTTGTCCCAGGACACAATAGCCACACAAACAAGAGTGTTTATTTCAGGAAAAAGTTCAATTTTGTAATCATAATGCCTTCTCGTAGTCCCATACTCTTCCCAGCTTCCCGGGCTTGCCCATCTGTGCTCAAATCTGTGGATTGTCACGCTGCTTTTTGCTGTGTGTCACCCCACCAGCCCTTTCCTCGCTGGGCTCTCCATGCCCCTGCTCACTCCTGGGGCTCTGTTACCCAGTGGGGTRATGGAACCCTTCATGCTGCTCCCACAGACCACCCCAACAGGGAACTATTTATTGCTGATAGTTACCATCAGTGCCCAAAATGTGCACACCTTGCACTCCTGCTGTGTGGCCATTCTGTGCCTGGCCACTCTGGCAGCTGCCAGCCAGGGGAGGTGGTGGGGATCCTCTCATGGCTGCTGTGACAGTGCTGCCTCCTTGGCCAGGTGCTGGCAGGGCTGCACTTCCTGCACAAGCGCTGCCGCATCATCCACACGGACATCAAACCAGAGAACATCCTGCTCTATGGATGCAGCAAAGGGCTTCTCATGGATACACTCAACTGCAACCAGGGAACAGAACTGAGGCTAAAGGGAGCAGGTGAGCACTCCGGGGCTTTTTGAACAAGGAAACAGACTTAGGTATTCATTTGCAGGAGGGAAGCAAGAGTGGAAGCAGATACAGATACATGAGGAAAGGCTCACATCTCCTGCAACAGCCACTGCAAAACATTACAGCCAGTATAAAACATTACAGCCAGCTGATGCTGCTGAAAGGCCTCTCCTTTCTCTTCTTAACACAAATACCAGGCTGGGCTCAAGGCACCTATGACGATGTGGTCCTGCAGGTGGGTGGGTTTGTATGAAGGACAATTACAGGTCACAGATATCTGGTAACAGCCCCACCACAACCTCAGAGCTCACTCTCAAGGCTTTATGTACACGACAGTTGCCTGTGCCTGATGTTTTCAGCTACTGAAAGGTTTACACACAAAATGGCTTGATCAAAAAGCTGTACAACACTCCTGCTCTTTATTTCTCACATTTCTGAGGTTTGTGGGAGACTTGTATGTACTGCTAATCTTCAAGGCTTTTTGAGACATAATTTATTTGCAGAGAACAGTGTGAATATTGAATAAGATGTAGGGCTGGAGAGTTTCTCGAGAGATTAGCTCATCTCCCAGCAATGAGACCTTTCATATTATCCTTGCACTGTGTTCTCCTGTGAGCATTTCTCCCATGACACTGCTGTTTTGTCTCAGACTCTGGAGCAATCAGGGAATGCTAAATTAGTGACCAAGCCTTTTGCACAGAGCCGAAAAGCACAATATTAAACATAGGCTCACAGCTCACTGTAAAGCACAAAACCAGGAATTACCCTTTTCTGGGATCGTAGGAAAATGATCATGTTGCTTGCCAAGCAGGCTGTGTCCAAGGTCTGTGACAGGCAAGGTTGCTGAAGGCTGAGGAGGAGGTACACGTGTTTTGGTTCTGACTGCTGCTCTCCTCTGGGCCCACAGYAATTTAACCTTGGTGCTAGAGGAACCTTGCAACAGGGCAGGRGCACATGGTCACACCATTCCACTCCAAGCTACCCTTCTCCCAAACATTCTCTTAGGTTTTTCCTGGATACCAG